GTCTCTGGCCAGGAGGGATTTTATAGTATTCTACACAGGAGGGCTGTTACCCTTCCCTTTATAGTTATGACAGTGTCTTTGACCTCTGGTTATCACACACAATGGCCACTTCCTTTGGAATTAGCACTTTTCTGTTGAAGTCCTTCATTAGCATTCCACAGTCCTTCTTTGATGGGTTATTTTAGTTACATGGGTATACACAATGTGAATGTTTGCTACTGCATTATAACAGGACGAGTGAAAACAATGCAAGTAACGTCCTATTAGTTTCATGAAGTCTAAACATCAAATGCACTCTTCTACGTTCAGCAATCACTTTGATCTATAATATACAAGTGAATTGGACTGAATACACTCTGGTCTGCCAACGTCACACCTACGTTTCACTGTTGGCCAGGACCACTTTCAATACTGAGTGCACCCCTTTTGACTCGTCTGCCCCGAGGCACTTTTCAAAAGTTATGTCAGAAGTAGCAGTGCAGCCATAGGAAAGGTATTTTAGTAGTCCCAAACCTGGACAAGTGGCTACTGAAAGGTCGCTCCCTGGAACCGGTGGCTCAGGTAACTTCTGAGGTGATAGATCTCTTCCACGAATTCGGCATGCAATTGAACATTCAAAAATTCACTTTGACCCCGTGCAGGTACATCTTGATTCAGTAACAGGAAGACCCTACCTTCCTCTGCACAGCTTTGTGGCCCTTTCCAGCATAGCCAACATAGATAAGTTCAGCCCCCAAACTCCAGTCAAGAACAGTCTTCAGTTGCTGGGGCACGTGGCAGCCAGCACCTTTGTCACAGAAAACTCAGAATGCGCTGCCTTCAAGGGTGTCTCAGAACTGTTTATTCACCAGACACCGTTTAGGTTTTCACCGAAAGGCTTCTTTCCATACCTACTTCTGTAAAACAATCCCTCAACTGATGGAAAGACCATCACAATGTGTGTGCAGGAGTTCCATTTGCACATCCTGCCGCAACGGACGGTCATCATAGTGATGGATGCCTCTCTGCTAAAGTGGGGAGTGCATCTAAACACTCACGCGACCCAGGATGAGTGGACACTGCAAGAGACCATGCTGCTACACAACCTCCTGGAACTCAGAGCAGTCAGATGCCCCTGTCTCCAGTTTTTACCATTTATCAGGGTCAAACACATAAAGGTCATAACGGACAACATATCATGCATGTTTTACATCAGTTGGCAAGGAGAAGCAAGATCCCCTTCCTTCTGCGCCAAGACTGTCAAGCTTTGAAATTGGTGCATATGCAACCAGATAGGCCACTGTGATGACTATCTCGCAGGGGTTGAGAATGTGACCATGGATGAACTCAGCAGGTGCTTCTTCCGAGACCATGAGTGGGGAAATAGACCCCAGCATATGACACCACATATTCCGTCAATGAGGCACCCCTCAGATAGACTTGTTTGTCACAGAGTTAAACAAGACATGTACCCAGTTTTGCTCAAGAGGTGGACTGGGTCACAAATCCTTGGGGGATGATTTTCACCTTCATTGGTCGTCAACTCTCCTGTGTACATTCCCACCAACTCCTCTAAAAGCCAAAGTTATGCTCAAAATAAAAAGAAAAGACAAAGCAAGAGTCATACTAATAGTTATGACTTGACCCAGACAAACGTGATTTCCTTACCTGATACAGCTGGCTGTTTGGTCACCGATCACTCTTCATGCTGCTCCTCATTTCCTCTCCCAGGAAGGTGGGATGATCCTTCACCCCAATCTCACAGTGCTGCTTCTCAAAACATGATTGGTAGATGATTCACAGGATTAGAGACTTACCTGCTCAGAGGAAGTAAAAAGAGTACTACTACAAAGCAGGAAACAGTCTACTTGCTACACAGACTCTTAAAAATGGACAAGATTTTGTTACCCATTCTTGGAACCAGGCAAGAAATAAACACAGACAAAGGTCGAACTCGAGCAGCACTGAGGGTTGATTTGTTTCCCTTATTTGCGCAATTATACTCAGACACAAACACAACTCATTCATGCTGGCAGGCTGCAAGTGCGGGTGTTGGTTTTGAATTTGCTGGTGGCTGAGGCTGGCCAGGCGTCAGCTGCCCAGAGATAGGCCGCGAGGCTACAAGAGTCACCGAAGTCCCTTCGGATCTGCAGGAGGGCTTCCGTTCCGTTCCCAAGTTTAGCGTGCTGTTACATTTCCTTATTGGTACTCTACCTGGCCACCGGTCTTGAGATTTATACCTTTACCAAGATAATACCGTGGTTCCATAAACAGCGATATTTGCTTCTTTGTTTTGCCATTGGCTGTCACATTCACTGTCTCACTCACTCCTTACATTAACTGCATGAATACAATTGGTAATATAGAGCAATGCAGCTTTAAGAAAGCATCTAACATCACTGGGGAGCTTCTGCTGCTTGTGGCTTTGTTACAGCATAACAGGAAACTGTGCAGACTGGACTTGAAAGAGCAAAGGTGTGGGGGGAGGAGGGGCGCCGCCGGCTACAGATTTGTCTGTTGGTGTGACCTCATTGCTGTAAAATATACTAGACTACATCCTGACTCAAAAGTTCAGGACTATTGATGAGCTCCATAAGAGTCTACCTGGCAGCCATCACGGCTTTTCACCCTCCCAATAGAGGGTTGTTCTGTTTTTGCTGATCCAACATCAGCGAGATTCCTCTGGGGACTTGGAAACCTCTATCCACCAGTCCAGCTCCTGATTGGGACCTCATTCTGGTCTGTAAATGCCTCAGAAGTCTACTGTTTGAGTTGATGGCTACCTGCTCACTGCTCTGTTCATCAGTGAAGAAGGCATTCCTGATATCCATCACATTGACATGACAGGTTGGGAAAATAGGAGCCCTGATGGCATGCCCCCTTTTACAGGATTTTTTTTTTTTTTTTTTTTTTTTTTTTTTAAGGACAAGATCACACTGCAACCCCATCCCAAATTTTTACCTAAAGTTTCTTCTGAGTTTCATATTAACCAACCCATTCACCTGCCAGTCTTCCAACCCAAACTGCATCTAGATAACCAGGAGGCACTCCTGCACACCCTGGACATCAGGAGAGCCCTGTCCTTCTGTGTGGATAGGACAAAACCTTTCAGAAAGACCCACAGATAATTTTCCTTGCAAGCAGATAAGTCAAAAGGGTCTGCAATCTCTAATCAAAAACTTTCCAAGTGGATATCTGGCTCCACTAATTCTAGCTACGAATGTTGCGATATTCAAACACCTTTGAATATAGATACTCATTCTACAAGGTCCATTTCCACCTCTATGGCATTCCTCAAGAATATTCCCATATTGAGATATGTGAGGCTACTACTTGGGTGTCTATACATACGTTTGCTGAACACTATGCTAAAACTTGTGACACTGCTGATACTGTGTTTGGCTAGGCTGTAGTTTCTTTGGTACTGGACTCGACTCCGAAGCTGCCCCTGCCTTAAAGGGAATTGCTTGGTAGTCACTAGAGTGGAGCACCCGTAGGGATACTACTCAAAGAAATGGTTACTCACCCTGTGGAGTAACTGTGGTTCTTCAAGATGTGGGTCCCTATCGGTGCTCCACTACCCACCCTCCTTCCCCTCTGCATTGGAGTTCTCTGCTATGGAGCTTTGCGGTAGAGAAGGATCTGAGGTCGGTTGGCCTGTGCAGTGCTGCGTAAAAACGGCATGAGGCTGACTAGCATGCATGTGCAGGCCTAACAAACTCCTCTATGAGAAATCTCCAATCAAAGGCGCAGGGGGTGCTAGCACACCTAGAGTGGAGCACCCATAGAGAGAGACGTCTCAAAGAACCACTGTTGCTGCACAGGATAAGTAACCATTTCTTCTCTGTACTTTCCTTGTGTCGGTAAGAAAAAAGACAGGTTGGAGGCATTATATATTTAAGCCATCATCCTCTTTAAGATGGTATTAATTTCTCTTAGATTCCAAATTTATGGCAGGGATACCAAAGACACTGATCACTGCCTCCCTGCAACTTTTTCTGGTCTATTTTGCCTTTCCATTTTATCCTGTTTAATGCTGTTGTAGAGTCTTCCATAAAAACTCACCATAGTGACATACTTTCCTGTCTGATTTCTCTTGGTGGTCAGACTGTTGAACTTGGCTGGCTTTATTTGTGTCTCAGCTAGAATAGCTGAACAAATACAGAATACCATATTCATATAGGTGATGGAATTCTATATCCACTGAGAGATCCTTGAGAATTACATCTCTGGCTACTCTGTCCAGCAGCCAGATGCTTCTGTTATTTCATACAAATATAAATGAAACAACTTTTTTTTAGCAGCCTAAATTCAAACTGCATTTGTCTATTTTTATATGTTTATGTCTAGGATATAATACAGCTCCCAATCTTTTCAAAGAGTTCTCTAGATTACTGTACTGTACTAAAAGGAAGAGAAGTTACCTGTATGGATTTTGAAGAATAACCTGTATTGCACATTTTATTTTTCTTTACTTCAGAATTGCAAGTACAATATAAACAATTTCTAAAAATATTTTAATGTTCAGTATGAAAAGCGTTTAGAAAAAGAAACTGACTATAAGACTTAAAAGAACTTTGGAATTTAAAAAGAAGGAATTTAAATAGCTAAGATGTTACACTCTTGATGTTTTTGTTCTATTAGCTTCAGAGAGAGATGAGCGATGTAGCTTGGAGGTTTTATCAGATGACAGGTCCATTAGAAACCTTAAACTCTGAAAAAGTTTGATATTATAGCTCACTTTTCCATTTTGGTGATGTGGAATGAGCCACATGTCCCTAGGGCTTTCTTCCCTCTCAGAAATGTTCAAGTTGGAATCAGACATCTGTGGAACAATATAAGAAGACAGAAATTTCCCTCACAGATTGTTTTGATATGTCAACTATTTATGGAACAAAAAGTTGCTAAAATGTCTGCTAGACTTGAACAGTGCTGTTACATAAATCCTTTTTATTTTGTTTTAACATTTTAAAAAAGTGAAATGCATTATTAGCTGCATGTTTATTTTGTTCTTTAAATAGGAGAAAGAAACATGCCATTCATAGCAGTGATACAACCTCTTCAGACGAAGAACGCTTTGAAAGGAGAAAGTCTAAGAGCATGGCCAGAGCAAGGAACAGGTATCACAACTTGCTGAGTCTTTGTGAGGGCCAGTTTATATGGGCCTGGCAGGAAAAATCAGAATTATGGTGTAATATTCTAGTCAGTGTGAAAAGTGATAGTTTGATTCAGCAAACTATTTAGAAAAGTTACTTCTTACTTATGAAACTTCAATAAATTTAACTTACAACAGAAGAATATGGGGGGGCTTGTTTTAGTTACTGAACAAATATTACAATATAATGTATATAATATACAAGTATATAACTGAACAAATATTACAATATAATACTGAAGTCTTATGAGTAGATAGTTATAAACAGTGCAGATTATAAAGTAAAGAAGAAAACCCAAATAAAGGTCTATGTAAGACACTGTTAACCAAATTTTGTATCAATTAAAAATGGATTTTCATTGAACGTGTAAAGAACCAGGGTTACTCTGGTGTTTTCTTTTTTAATTAGTTTTGGAGGGAGTTAAAACAATAGCTCTTCCAAATACCACCTCTCTTCCTCCTCCTCCACCCCTTCCTATCACTGTAATACCATGTGCATCCCAAACATAAAAAAATGCTCTTACTTAGCTCCTGCTCAACAATTATCTAAGATGTAAAAGATACCGTGGTGATAACTTAACAAAGAAATTAACAAATTCCTCTTTTTATCAGATGGGGTTGAATGGGTCCTGTTACTAGACTGGGGGGCTGTCTGGGGCGCCAAGACCCTCTTCATTGCTTATACTTATGTAGGATGTAGACAAGCGGTAACAGTTCTGGGAGTTGTCTTAAAGCCCCGTCCCCCTGGAGGTCTTTTCCAGCCGTGACACTGGGTGCCCACCAAACCTTTCTCGTGTCATATTCTTCAGACTTCTACTTGCATTTTAAATGGACACTCTCCACCCTTTCCAACAGATCTGTTCTTACCCAGTCTGGCAGCGTCACCTACCAATACAATACTCTCCCTCCCCCATACTTCCTCCTCACCCTCCACGCTCCTCTCCATCTTGCTTTCCCTCATTCATTCCCGCTTGTCCCCTCTATCCCTCTACCTTGAACTCCCTGTCTCCTCCCTTCCTCTCCTTCTAAGCACAGATCCAAACACAATTCTTGGATCTCTACAAGTAATACCAAGATAAACATCTAAATATTGATATAACTGTGCTGATGCTAGAGGGTTGTGCTACTTTAACTATATCAGTACAGAAACTGTGAGTCAGCAAAGCTCTCTGTCTCCATCTCCTCTTCCTTCTGCTGATCATCGTCATCCTCTTCTCACCACTGTGCCATTCCTTTCTCTCCCTCTTCCATCCTGAAGAACCTTGAAACCATTAAAAACAAACAAATGAACAAAACCTTTAAGAACCAGAATGCTTTAATATATTAAAAAAAAAAAAGTTGTGCAAAATCGGCTAAGAGCTCTTTATGTCTTATATTAGTAACCTTTGTCCTCCTGGCTCCCAGTCTGTTCCATCTGTGTTTGTATTCTTCCTCATATCATGTCTCCTTAGATAAGGTTTTTAGGGCTTCTTTATACTTCATAAAGAAGCTAAACAAGTGCATGCACAAGTTAAAATCGTTGTAGGTCAAATTTCCTCACATTGGGGATTAATTACCGTATATACTCTATCATAAGCCGGTTCATTTATAAGCTGACGCCCCCCCCCCCCCCCAAGATGGATAAGTAAAAATGGAAAATTTTTATAACTCGTTCATAAGCTGACCCTATAATTCAGGGGTCAGCAAACTTTGGCTCCCGGGCCATCAGGATAAGCCGCTGGTGGGCCAAGATAGTTTGTTTACCTCGAGCGTCCGCCGGCACGGAGGTAAACCGAAGTAAACAAAGTGTCCCGGCACAACTGGTGGGGAAATATTTTTGCTGGGAGTCAAGGGAGTAACCCCTGTGACCACCCCCCACATGACCCCTCCCCTAGCCTGGGACCCCCACACTCTCCCTATCCCATCCCTTCCCACCTTATCTGGGGAGGGCCAGGGGAGGATGTCTCTGGCCTGGCTGGAGCTGCTCTGGCAGGCTGGGCAATGTGGCGGCAGCCTGCTCTGGTGGGCCAGGCCTGGCGGCGCAGCCGCAGCATGCCCCAGTGGGCTGGGCGGCACGGCTGCAGCGTGCTCTGGGGGGCGGGGCCCAGCGGCATGGCTGCAGCCTGCCAGCCCCGGAGCTGCAGCTGCTTCGGAGGCTGGGGGGGAGAGCAGCGTGGCCAGAAGCGGAGAGACTCTGGCCCCGCCTCTTCCCTTCTGTCTCTGCTGGCTGTGCTGCCTCTTCTTGGGGGGAGGGGCTGTGTCGCACCTCTCCCTCTCTATACCTGTTCATAAGCCGACCCCCTTCTCTGGTGCTTCCTTTTTTACTCAAAAAATTCAGCTTATGAACAAGTATATACGGTAATTGTTTTTCTTGACTGCTGCTTTCTGTGAACCCTTTCCTTACCACTTTAAATTTAAGTAGCGCTGACTGCTTAATTGTAAGGCTCCCCTTTGTTTTCATGTTTTCACCTGGTTGGGTTAGGTGTTCTCTTTGTTGGTTAAGAAATATATCTTAGTACAGGTTTTGTGGTTGGGTCTCTGCTTCTTGAATCATAAAGTTATCTTCATTGTATTTTAGGAACCTCTTTGTACGTCAGGCTTTCATTACTAAAGAACAATATCTTGGTCATTCTAGTCCTCTTTAATTTTGATTACTTTGACAGCCCTGGCATGTATATTTTTTCACTATTCTTCATCCTTGGTGATCCATAGGAGAGTGTCTACTTTTGTTCTTTCTTTTTCATTCCTGTTATCTTAACCCAATGAATTTCACCACTGTTATTGAAAATTGCTTTGTAGTTTTAAGAATTATAATTTTAAATATGTTGGGTTAAGTTGAAGGGGACAGGAACAAACTTGTTTAGCTTAATGTTGATTTTGCTTGAGAGGGATAGCTGCACTAGTATCTTAATCTTTTAGTTCTGACAGTTACAGCCATCTTTACTTGTTTTATTGCTCATATATTCAACATCAACCTAAATTGCTTGCTTTTGTCGAACAGATGTCTGCCTATGAATTTCAGAGCAGAAGACTTAGCCAGTGGAATCCTGCGAGAACGAGTAAAAGTTGGTGCAAGTTTGGCAGATGTTGATCCAATGATTCTTGACAAATCGGTAAAATTTGTTAAGACTTGTCTCTTTTATAATTATGCATTTGAGATAATGAAGATTAATCAGAAATCCTAATTGGCAGCTTTGTGAAAATCAGAGTTGAAGTGAATGCAAAATAAACTTTCAAAGTGTTGTTAAGTAGTCTATCTGTTCACGCAGTGATGTCTATACACCAATTTTGGGCCAGAAAGCACTTGCTTTTAGTCTGTGTGTAATTCTCTGGTGAAACACATCATAAAGACGCAAACAGGTCATATTCACAATATATATTTCTTCTGCTGGTTATCTCTAAAGATAATTGCATTTCTAAAAGTCCTTGGATTCTTATTTGAATTTTTATGTTTGAGAAAACTTTACTGTTCTAGTACATACATTTTTGCATACATGCTAAGTTAAAAATAAAAAGTTGTTGCTTTACATGTTTTGTGTTTTCTTAGGTTCGTTTTGATAGCATAGGTGGATTGAGCCATCATATCCATGCATTAAAGGAAATGGTAGTGTTTCCTCTTCTCTATCCAGAAATCTTTGAAAAATTCAAAATACAGCCACCAAGGTAGGTGGATTTATTCTTTGTTGCTGTTTTTTTTTTATTTTATTTTTTTTATTTCATTGCACCCCCTAAAAGTACTTAATAGGATGACATGTAGAAGGACTGGTCCTTTCTCTGAAGAGCACACAAGGTAAATAGATGGATAGACAAATGAGGATTATACTATACTTTACACCAGTATTAGAGGCAAGAAGATGTGGATTGCAGAAATAAATTCTTTTATTTGCAGGAGGCAGGTGTATCTCTTTGTGGTTTAATTAGAGAAATATTTTTTTGCAGGCTGCTGCAGAAGTGAACTTTTTTTTTTTTTTTTCAATGAGGTGAGGTGAGGGTTGGAGGTTTGACATTCATTTTGGAAGCATGTTTCCAGTCATCATCATCAGCATGACGACATGGAGACAATTCTGGAAAAAGGAGACAAAAGGGTTATTGAACTGGTGTCATTGACAGAGCAGGGTTGAGGGGACACTAGCAGAGACCAGATGAGAAAATTAGTCAAGGCTGTGTGTGATATAGGGCCTTGAAACAAGGACAGTAAGTTTAATGCACAGTGGAATAGAATCTGTGATATGACTGATGGCTAGATAACAGTGTTGAAGCAATGGGCAAGAGATGATTTTGTCAGCAGGTTTTGAATGAACTTAAAAAAACAAAACAAAAAACCAAACCAAAACAAAAAACACTTGAGGCAGCCAAGTCTCACAAACTCTCTTTTTTTTTTTTTTTTTTTTTTTTAAACCAATTTTGTGCTGGTTTAACCAAGTCCCAAAACAGACATCCTGCTATTGAAGGATTCAACTGGGTAGGGGAAACTAATGGGAGGAACCAGTTGGAGAACATGAAAATTCTTTGAATGATTAATTGCCTCCTGCCTGAGAGTCTTAAGTGAAAGACACTGTTCTGACTTAACCAAGTTGCAGAATAAAAAAATTAGCAGGTAGTATAAACATGTTTTTCTGTGAATAGAACTTAATTGACAATGTTATTAAGTGAACAAAGCAAACTCGAATCCCTAGCTGTATTGTTCCTGTCATGCTGGCATTAGTCAAAACTTATTTGTAAAGAAGAAAGTGATCAGTTGAAGATATGAAAGGACCATACATGCTTTATAAGAAAGCTATTAAAAATATTGAGGTTCATGTAAAAACAAAAATTAAAGACCCTCCTCCCCCAATATGATTGTCAGCCTTAAAATTCTGCATTCTTTTGTTTTTAGTGTGTTGAAAATTGGTGGGTTTATTTAAAGTCAAATTGAATGTCAGTGTTTCTTTTATGGAAGCAATCTTTAAATAACATTTGTATTCTGGTTTTAATCCTTATGGACAGGCATCTGAGGAGCTTAAAAAGATATGTGGAACTTTTGTAATTTGGGAATTTGATTAAAGTCTTTTTTAATTTTAAGAAACTAGCATTAGAATCTACTTCTATGTAAGCAAATATCAGAGAACTAGCTCTGGTGTTTTTGCAGGTTTAACATTTGAAGTATTTACCTGATATAAAATAACCCTTGAGATTCTTAATATCCACCAGATTACTGTGTGCTTTGAAAAGCAAATATGTAATAATTTGAAAGCATGAAGCAAAACTTGCACTTTTCATGTTATGAAACATATGCAGAAATAAAATTGAATTCTGATGTAGCACAAAATTTTAAATGAGGAAGAAAAAACTAATAATATTACAAAATACAAGATTCAGCTTAATAGTTTTTCATTTCTTTTAGTTTGTGGCATCTTAGATTTTGTAAGATCAACTTAAATGTGCCAAGTAATGATGAAAAGATTAGTACTTTTTTCTTCTCTGGGCTCCCTATCTTGAAGAAGTTTTTCAAGAGACAAAAAATAAATTTGTGACTATAATATTGATCCATTTATCTTCAGGGGCTGTTTGTTCTATGGTCCTCCTGGAACAGGTAAAACCTTGGTAGCTAGAGCTCTAGCTAATGAATGCAGTCAAGGAGACAAAAAGGTGGCTTTCTTTATGAGAAAAGGAGCAGACTGTCTCAGCAAGTGGGTTGGTGAATCTGAACGGCAACTTCGTCTCCTCTTCGATCAGGTTGGAAGATGTTCAGATACTTTTGATAGATTTTTTTCCGTATAATATTTTTCATTTCAATGTGTTTCATGCAGCCAAAATTGTCTTTGGATAAAAGGAAACTTTTATATAAGTTACAGTACAGGGGGCAGGATTTGCTAGAGTTTTAAATTTAGATGAAAACGTAGAGCAATGGTGATGAAATGATATTGCATTGTATCTAAGTGTTATCAATCAGGATATATTAAAAAACAATATAAGAGGGAGCTTCCTGACCTGTCCAGGACTACTAGTATCATAGTTGTCATGGTGGCTGTGGGTAGAAATCGCAACAGAATGATTTGAATCATTGACCTGGTGTCTGGCTGGCATATTCAGGGCATATACTATGGTAAAGATTGATTTAAGAATTGTGTTTTTGAGAGTATGCTTCAGACACTTTAGTATGACCAATCCTTTACTCATTCAGCTAGAGAGGATGATGAAGAGGGGAGAGATTCAGATAAAACAGTGGAATCCAATCTTTTGCACAAATGCAGGTTTCGGATATAGGTACACATCTGCCCCGATATAACGCTGTCCTCGGGAGCCAAAAAATCTTACCGCGTTATAGGTGAAACCGTGTTATATCGAACTTGCTTTGATCCGCCTGAATGCACAACCCCCCCCCCCCACAGCACTGCTTTACCGCATTATATCTGAATTCGCGTTATATCGGGGTAGAGGTGTACTTAGTTTAAACAAATATAATACTGTAGAAAAATACAATGCTTTCTATAATTAAGAGACTTAGACTTTTAATTTCTTAATGTTTTCCAGGTAAGGCTGTGAGGGCGGGGGGAGACTTCAGACAATAAAAGGTGCTAGTGGAAAATCAGGAAGTACCTTTTTTACCTAGTCTGGCTGCAAAGCAAAACAAAAAATTATGCCCTTCTTCATCACCTCAAAGAGCTTTTAAAAATATTTTGCTTTTGTTTTACATTAGAAACATCACGTCTGATCTTAAAACTTTCTATTCTTGGAGGATTTGCCATTCTTGTTAAAAATGGGAATATGGTATCACAGAAGGATGAAAGCTGCAGCTTTCCCAGGAGGACGTAGGGATGTTATGGTTGTTGATATTGCTTCTCTCAGAAGTTCAGAGCTAGTGGCACTGAAACTCAAGTTTGTCTGTTGTGAAGTCACATTCCAATTCCTCCAAAGTTTTCCCTAATACTTGAGCAAGAAGAGAGAAATGTGGGCTTTGAGTGGGGAGTTTCAAAAGTGATCAGCACTGTCATAACTCTGCTCCAATATTAGGCCAATGCTGAGGGCTTTTGAAAATTCCATCCTGTATTTCTAATATAAAACACAAGCAAAAAAACAAATTATGGAGACTGTCTTCATGACTCATAGAAGAGCATTAAAGGCAAAAAAATGCTTTTTTTCTTGCTTTGAATTTTCTCTTTATGTTCTGTTGTGTTGTGGTTTTTTTTAAAAATGTAATGCTTAACTGTCAGTTAACTATGTTGGAAATACTCTTGCTCAAGTGAAGACTATAAGTATATATTTTGGAAATGTTCCACTATTTGAAGAAAAAAAGTCAGAAAGTACCCCTTTTTTACTTAAAGGCTGGCTGTAAAGCAAAACAAGAATTATTTCCTTTACTTATTTTCTTAGGAAAAAAGGCCACATTTCTGGACATACAATGCCCATTTCTGAACTTGTTTTTATATCTTTAGATTTGTAAAGATCTACAAACCCAGTAGCAGCTAACTAAAACATGACAAGAAACTGATTGTGTTTATTACACTTATAAAGTAATAGAAGAATAATCTAGAGTGTCGAGTATAGGTTAAATAAATATTATGATTGCAAGAGTAATTGAGATACTGGACATGAGGCTCAGAACCTAACATAAGAAAATGGTTTACAGCATTAACAGAAACAGCTTTGTATGAGAGGAAGAAATGTATATCACAAGTTAAATGAATGTATCTGGGGGTCATATTCTTGTTTTACAAGAATGTATTTTAATCCCACCATGTCATTTTTTTTTTCTCCTGTGCTTCTTAGTCCCTTGATTTCATTTTACCTCAGTATTATACTTTTTTCTTTGTTATGGGTATTTACTGCAATTTTATATTCTAAAAAACAAAACAAAAAATTCAAAAATAAACATTTAAAACAATTACAAAAAATGTGATCTATTGCATTGCTCCAGGCATTGAGAATTCAGTCATCTAAAGACAGGATTCTCACACTATGAATCAGTGCCACCCTGTTTGGGATTGTTCAAGAGTGCAGGAAAACTATGGCACTGGTGCCATCTTCCTTAGGTAAAGTAAAATACAGTCTAACTTTTTTTCCTTTGTTTTAATATTACAACTTAGTTGTTAAACTTCAGATTTATTCTCAGAGCTGGGTTTAAAAAAGCATCGCAATGCAAGCTTTTAACATACAGCCTGTGGAAGTGTTACCAGCACATAGTGAAGAGAATTTGTTTTTACTCCATTGCAGAAGAAATTTGAATTAACAGCTAATATCCATTCCTGTTTCTACCCACCAGGCATACTTGATGAGACCTGCTATAATCTTCTTTGATGAAATAGATGGTTTGGCCCCAGTTCGTTCTAGTAGACAAGACCAGATTCACAGGTAATGTTTTTAATATACTACTGCGGGTTATGTTTTTATTTTGGTAAATTTAAAGTAGCTTTTTTTAAAGCTTCATTTGGATTATTTCTTGGATTAGATCCTTGCCCCTCCTCTGGCACTTTTACACCAGATGAAAGATCCAACGTGGTGTAAAGGGTCACTAAAAGCCCTGTTTATGACTAAGTGATGATTACCCCTGCCCATGCAATGCCTTTTCAAGACCACCTTGCAAACTCTGTCTGCAGTGATACTGGACAATGCTGTGACCCCATAGGGCAACCCAGGGAGGATGGCATAACTTAATTTAGACAACTCTTGATGGCCTATTATGTAGGAGACCTTGATAATATTTACAAAAAATTGTTTTTGAAAACTTTCTTCTAGCTCTATAGTGTCTACCCTACTTGCCCTCATGGATGGACTGGATAATAGAGGAGAAATTGTCGTAATTGGTGCTACAAACAGACTTGAATCTATAGACCCTGCACTCAGGAGACCTGGTCGTTTTGACAGGGAATTTCTTTTCAACTTGCCTGATCAAAAGGTAAAAGTTACAGAGGGATAATGTAAAAATTTCTAGAGTGAAGTAAGTGGGTATCTCTGAAGATCCACATATTTGATACAGATCTCTATCAAATAGCATTTGGTATGTTTTCAAAAACGGTAACAATTTGTCCATTGCTAGTCCTTTTTGTTAGTGTGGTTTTTATTTATCTATTTATTTATTTGGAAACTAGAATTCTTTAGACATCTCAAAGGCATTTACCCTCTTTGCAAAACTCAGTTCATAGTACATTTAAAGTTTTTAAAAATGTTTTAAAAGTCATTCAAGCAAAAAAAGGGCATTTTAATGGCTCTGAGGTAGGACATATGTTCTCACAACTCAAACAGCTCAACTAAATTTATTGAAATTTCTCCAAAACAATCTATAACTGCAGACTGAGTAGACCCTCTTTCCTGTTGTCTCAGGTTTGCAGAAGACTCTCTCCAGGCAAACCATAGCAACAAAGTACAAATCTTCCTCTACCTCAGACTCCTCACTGGAAGTGTCAACTTTCATCTGAGACTAAACATGAGAAATTTCATCACAAAATAAAACATTTTGAGAGTTTAACAAGTTGATAATACACAGCAATTTGCACAGTGTTATATATCTTCAAAGTACTGTGCAAACATTAACACTGGACTAACTTGATGATTCTATTATAGTTATGGTTTCATCCATTTTGACAGAAGTAGCATGGAACTGGACACAAAGCTCAGAATTCTTGAAATCTGCAAGAGCAAATAATTGTGTTGCAGTTTGCTAGTAGTGAGGGATTTTTAAAACGGTCTCTGTCGCTCCTCTTTGAGACTCTTATACACAAGCGTTTAATATTTTACTAAACCATTCTAAGACACAGTTTCCAAATAGAATCAAATTGGAAAAATAGAAATGCCCACTAGCTAAACAAAGAGGATTCCTCAGTTCAGAAACTGCTAGCCACCCTTCCCCCTTCTTCTTTTTAGGTCCCTTGAAGTCTGTTTGCTAGCTCATAGTCTGTTGCAGTGCCCTAATCCAGTGGCTCTCAACCTTTCCAGACTACTGTACCCCTTTCAGGAATCTGATTTGTCTTGCGTACCCACAAGTTTCATCTCACCTCACTTAAAAACTAAAAATCAGACATAAAAATACAAAAGTGTCACAGCACACCTACTGAAAAATTGTTTACTTTCTCATTTTACTATATAATTATAAAATAAATCAACTGGAATATAAATATTATACTTACATTTTAGTGTATAATATGTAGAGCCGTGTAAACAAGTCACTATCTATATGAAATTTTAGTTTGTACTGACTTTGCTAGTGCTTTTTATATAACCTGTTGTAAAACTAGACAACTATCTAGATGAGTTGTACCCCTGGAAGACCTCTGAGTTACCCCCAGAGGTACACGTACCCCTGGTTGAGAACCACTGCCCTAGTCAGTATGCTCTGTGCTGTGACATCATAGCTACTGTAATCTCACTGAAGTGTGGAGCTGGCCCAGAGAAGGCCCCATGCCTCACTTTTCCAAAACCATGCAATGTACTTTTAGAAGTGAAAAATTGGAGACCTTAACTGATCTTTCTCTGGGCTGGCTTCATTCTCCACTGAAGCTCTTTGGTAGTTCTGCTCTGAGTGAGGGGCATCCTAGTGGAGCTGGCGACTCATGACTTTTGGGGACTTGAGTAAAAAAGGTAAGCTTGGCGAATTAAGTTTTGAAAGCCCCTCTTCACCTAGTTAGTGGGGGCATCCATCACATGTTGAAGTACATAAAACCGTTTTGTTATTTGCAAATTACTTTAAAGTCATTTCAGTAACCCTAGCTGCAAATCTCCAGGCCTACAGATATGTTTGAAATTCTGCATGTCTGGAATGTAATAATACTGAACAGTAAAATAAATAAATATTGTGTTTGTGTATCAGCATTTATCTCTTTTAAAAAAGGAAATGTATAAAAAAATCGACATTTATGCATCATTATAACAGTAAATTTAAGCACACACACACAGGCAAATTCAGAAAGGTTCCCACTGCAGTTGTAACTTGATCACATTACACTGTAAGCTGTCTGGTGAAATGACTTCATCTTTGTATGGATTTGTACAATGCCTAGCCCAATCCTGATTGAGGCTGCTGAGTGCTATGATAATATAAATAGATAACTATATATATGTGAAGAAATACACTTAGCTGTCTGCATCATAATGAAAATTGCACATGTACAAAACAGGAGTTGTAATTGCAGTGTGAACATATTTTTACATTTCTTAGTTTGAGTATTTTATATTCACAACCACATGTTGCATTAATATATTTTTGATATTGGATTTAATGTGTAGGCTGTTAAAATCAAGTTTTAGTCGATTAGATTGATTTAGTGTAATACTCATGGAATTTTTCTGTAATAATAAACTATCTTTGTAAAAGATTATATATGTTTTATAATGGCAGAAACTCTTAATTGGAAGTATAGTGGTTGCCACTAAGAGAATCAGCACACACAGGTATTTCCTATGCCACAAAACTTCCTTTCCTCCTGAGAATTTGTGTTGTACTCTTCTACATGTTCCTGTGACATTGTGTTGACACAATTAGGATAATTATTGACTCCTCTTGAATATGTGACCTAAGTGCTTGAAATATGTTGATTTACTGTTGGCTGCTGATTTTGCTTGCTAATGCTGAAATACTTCTTTATCAGGCAAGAAAGCACATTTTACAAATTCATACCAGGGACTGGAACCCCAAACTGTCAGATCCTTTCTTGGGGGAGCTAGCTGAAAAATGTGTTGGTGAGTGGTACTATATTAGTGTTATCACTTTTTAGATGCCTTTTCTTTCCATAAAACCTTTTCTTAAAGCTTGTAAAGTATGTTGAACACTTGCTTCTGAAGTTCTGAACATGCATCAGATGCTTTGTTTTTTTATTTATTTTTCTATTTTATTTTTATTGAAACTTTTATACTTTCTACAACCCTTATTTGTAATCAGAAAAATCAGGCATGATTGTATCAGAGGGATTAATATACAGAATAAATACCCAATAATAGTTTGAAGGTAATAATTCAGTAGATAATGTTTTCCTGACATAACCTCCAATGTCCTTTTGTAGGACTAGTGCCGACAAAAATAAAAGCACGTGGGAAGCAGAATCTTTAGGTAAAGATTCCTTTAAAAACTTTACAGATGAGATTGGTTGGCACAGTTTTCCTGCCTTATATGTGGACAAAAATAAATTTCAGTAGTTTTTACTGAATCTCTGCCATGCTCTCTTCAGACAAAGACTCACAAACTAACCACAGGTCCTAAAGCTAAGATATATCCCCCAGAGTCTACTACTGCATAATATACCCATGTGGCAGGCACAGGGCAAAAAACTTTGTCCTTTAGACTCAGGCACCATGAATATCTTAATTATACCGTTGGAGCACTCAGAGACCTGCTGTACTGAATGGGAGGATGGTTGTTCAAGCCAGCTGCTTAAAAGCAGGACAGAAATAAAAACAAATGTTCATGTAGTGAGATTTTTAACGGGGAAATAACCCTAAAATACACACCACAACCTCCTCACAACAATTTGTCATATAAAGATACATCCTCTGTCAACCATCTGCTTGGGCAAGCATTGAAGTTCTCAGAACAAGGATAATCTCAGATAACTGTTCATTGGGATCCATCATCAAAGAAATAAGAACTTTAAATTGAGCATCAGTCCATTCAGTCAGCTACTGTACATCCGAATTATCCTCTTCATCCACAGGGACAACCATCTTCGAAGCAGCATGCCTCCGCTTTTGATCCACAAAGACCTCAACATCTTCTGGTGAGGAGAAAATATAACTATCCAGCAAACTCCAATTTAAGCTTTGCCGGGTATAAGACAGCATGTGCCAAACCCATTTAATGTAAATTCTGCTTGACTTTTTCAAAGGCCTGGTGCCACTTAATGGGAGAGGGGGGATATCTGGGGTAAAATCCAGTTTTGTTCCTTTGAAAGTTCACCATATTTCTGTCCACCTTGAGAATCCAATTACATATTTTAAGATGTTCAGACTACAAGGACAGCCTTTTGTAGGTTTTACTGCAAGACATTCCTTGTGCTGAAGTAAAACCAGTTGGTTCTGGGGGAAAATTTGTTAATTTTCCAGAATAAGAAATATCCCCAGAATCTGGTGTGTCTGGTTCTTGCACCATTCTAATATTGTGCACTAGAATTTCTCCTTTCTGTATCTTGGAGCTTTAATGTCTTCCAGCATTTCCAAGATCAGAACCTTGTGTCTACTATAAAAAGTCTCTACATCAGTCACAATAAGGCTAGTTTGTCTCACTTGCCCTGAGATTGCCTCATCGTTTTTGTTCATGATGTCACGAACATCTAACCTTTTATTCAGGCTTTCTAGATTCTTTGGAGCCATGCAAACCTGCGTTTTGGTCCTCTTTTCACACTGATGCAGTAGCTATTAGTCTGCTCTTGTTCCCCTTGAGTGGACAAAGTTTAAAAAAAACCAACCCAACCACCACCACCACCCAGTCTAGACTCAACAGGGTTTTGGTACAGCATGATTTTACCTTTACCTTGTTTAGCGAACTTGGCAACACCTACAAATACCTGAATCTTAATGAAGAAAACTACCAAAATGCTACAAATATAACTGACCTCTACTGAGAAGCAGTCATGAGAGTGGATAGCTTGCTTGTTGATGTATACCTCCCATACAACTTTAAAAAAAAAAACATGACTGGGCTTATTTAATTGTTAAAAAAATAAGACAAACAGAACCAGGACTTGTAGGGCAATAGTAGGTTGTTTCCTAAGGCTAGATTTTTGTCACAAGTGTCATGGATTTTCATGAGCTGATGTCTTAAAAATGACGTGTGCCATTTGGAGATTTTTATATCTGGGTTTGTTAAATAGTTGAAAAAATTTCTTTGAGTGGCTTGAGAGCTGCAGTATTAAGCCATGGGCTGCCTGTGAGATTAATAGGATGCAGCAGCTCAGGGAGAGAACTGAAGTGACGTAAAAGACCAGACCTTTGGAGTTTTAGTGGGAATTTTAAATTCCCAAAGTGGCCACAAGATGGGAAGCTGAAAAAGCCATGAGCATAGGAAAAACGTATGGTCTTCATGCAGTTAAGTGTGTGTTAGAGATGGGCGCAAACCAGCCTGAAGTTTGTGACTTGTGCCCATTTCTTGTACATATTTTTGTTTTGAATATTTACCTTCTAGGTAAATGGGTACTCAATTGTCTTGTTAACTCAACCTTTTAGAAAGCAAACCATATTAGCAACAGCAGTTGTGATCTCTTCCATCCAGCGTCTCTGTTAATCAGGTATATCCTTTCAAAACCTAGGTAGGCCATTAAAATAATATTAAACAAGGATTTTAAAGAAATTCAACACTGAGTCAAGACACTTCTTAGAAATATTCTGTTTCATGTTCATTATCATAATTAAGCAACTTACAAGAAAAAGAGTTAATTTGTTACCAATTGGTTCTTTCTCTCCCATCTTAATACAGTGATGGAGAGAGATGACTGTTTGGGGGTTTTTCACCCCACTGTTGTGAGAAAGCTATGGTGGTATCTTTCACTTCAACCTCATACTGAGTTCTGTGCTGGCATGCTTCCTGTGCAGTGTGCCACAGAATTTGGACCATAATGCTCTTATGATGATGTGAGGCCAAAATCTTGACCTAATTTGACAAGAAGATCCTACCTTTTTTCTTGTTGTAGAAATAGTTATAACTGTTTTTTGGGGTGGGCATTGGCGAGGAGAGAGTTTGGGGAGAAATCAGTTTCCAAGAGAAAAAAACAAGAAAAGATGACTAGCAAGTTTCTGTAAAAGTCTGATGCATGTTCTATAGTAGGCTGTGTGGGAGCCTTCTTCCTTACTGTGCTTCTCCCTGAAAGTTGTGCCAAAAAAAAAAAAAGTCACTTGTTTGGCACAGTCTGGTGGTGGTAGGGAGCACAGAATGGACTACTTTAGTTTTGTTCTATTACAAGGAAAGCCAGTGATTATGCCCACCCCAAATTCAGAATTATCTCCTAGATTTTTAAAAAGCAGAAGGAAATGCATTAAAATTTAGTTTTATTACTACAGTGACAATTGAGGATAAAATGAGTTCCTTCAAGGTTAGAGTGAAAAACCGTGTTTCATATTCAGCCTTGAGAACTTATTTATGTTCTTACATCTTCTGGGCATGGTATGTATTTGCTTAATACTAAAAAACCTATAATGTTCTGCAAGATATTTTCTTGCAGTTGTCTTGTCAGTCACTCAAATGAATATACAAGTATGCACAAGAGAATCCTTCAGTAAAAGATGAATTATTACTCTTCAAATGCAGTTGCTCCTGAGAAATAGGGCAATAGAACTAGAGACTAATTGTATATCTGATCACCTGAGAATTTAATTTTCAAAATAGGCCATAGGCTATTATTTCCTAATTTTGCAATTCCATGGAGATGTACAAGCTGTGATTAAAAAGACTGTTTGTAAGGAGTATTATAGCATTATTAATAGAAGAATTGGAAAGGACATAGCTTTAGATTTGCTGAGTCTTAATTTGTGTCAGAGATGCTTAAACAGGATTTTTACGATAAAAGGGAGATTAGAGGAGCAATATAACCCTAATGCATGTTTGACCTTAACAACATTGATTTAGTTTTCCCCAAACTCATTTGTTCAATCTATTGTGCTGTTCTATCAGCAAATGGACCATTGTGAACTGGTAAAATAATACACAGTTAAAAAGGCAAAGCAGCCTTTAGTGTACAACACAAATTCTAACTTATCCAGTACAATTGAATACCCTGACCCTGCAAATAGATTGCCACGTGTTGGGGGCTGTCCACCTGGATTTAATTGTGAAATTAGGGCCTTAGTACCTGAACAATGAATTCTAATCAGAAGCCACTTATAATTAGTTAACTGAAAGAAAATAAATGACCGATTTATCCTCTAACAAAATGAGGGACAATAAGATTGCTTGTATCTAATCTGTTTGATTTCACTTGAGCTATGGCTTATTAATAAGAAATTCAAGATAGTTTTTAATTTAACCTGGTACTCAACTATTGTGATTATTTACACAGTTATAACTTTTTACCATTTTACTAGCCATTTTTCCAAAATGGAAAAAGTTTATTCAAAAAAGTTGTGTATGGAATCCAGTATTTATGGTAATGTTCTGACTATAATCACATACTTTGACTCACATTCAAATCTTTATGGAAAAGTCCTATAGAATTTAATGGGACACCATCAGCTTAAAACCACAGTTTCATCTTAAAAATGTTTACCTACTTTTATTACTAGTAACCCTTAAAATTAATATGACTAAAAAATTAGAAAATGGGGAGAGATTCTTAGTCATCCCCCCAGTTTGTTTACTTAGTGCATCTGTCAGCACTTTGTATTGTCATGTTTATTTTTTTGTTGGTGGTGCAGGCCTTGTAAACGGGTGTTTACCAGAGGTAGTAGTAGACCTGTAACAAAGTGAGTGGGTTGGTGTGTGCACAGTAAGAGAGGGACAAGGCAGGAAGGCAGGCATAAACAACTTCAGTGGTGAGGGTTTTCTGCCTGCCAGAAGACCCTCCTAAACATAGAGAGGAGCAGGAAAACCATGATTTGTTTTTCTAAAAAGAGGCCTAAAAAAAGTTTGATATACAATTTTAAAGGAAGCTTGGCCAATTTTTTAAAAATTGTGAATAGATTCTATAAAAATCTATAAAAATGAGTAGAATTTAATAAATTATATCCCTGCTAATTGTATCATTCTGTATGCTGGGTTAAAAACGCTATAAAATTTTTTCTATAAGAGAATAATCTTGTAATTGGTTTAAAAATTGGTATTCTGTACTTCAGCAGAGGTAAAACAAAATGCACCAAAATATATACATCTGTTATTATGAAGGATAGAAGCATACCAGTATTAGAAATCCAATTGTTTTAGTCCTGAAAGCAGCAAAACTATCAATTAGTACCACAAAAGACTATTTAAAAGTTTTAGGCCTATATAATACAGTTGTATGTATGGCTCTAAATCAGGGGTAGGCAACCTTTCACAAGTGGTGTGCCGAGTCTTCATTTATTCACTTTAATTTAAGGTTTTGTGTGCCGGTAATACATGTTAACGTTTTTTAGAAGGTGTCTCTCTCTAAGTCTATATTATATAACTAAACTATTGTTGTATGTAAAGTAAACAAGGTTTTCAAAATGTTTAAGAAGCTT